CAGCCTGTTTCCAAGTCCCTGCCTACAGCATCACTGCATGGTCTGTTCCCAAGTCCTTGACTCTAAATGCCTAAGTCATGTCTGGAGAAGAATCAAAGCCTAAGATTTTGTCCTTACTGGCCAAGAATAACAGTCCTTTCCTTCCTCTCATATTGTCTCTTTTCTGTACCATGTCTTAAACTCAAAAGGGAAGGAATAGTTTAGCACCTTCTCAGCCAAATTAGTTTCTTTTTCTATAGTCAAAGTAATATGGATTTAAACCTCAGGGAAAGTAAGATGTAGAACATGGCCTCACTTTCTAGGAAAGCAGCTGTTAAGCTGTCTCGCAAAACATGATTATCACCAAAACTACTGCTGCTTCTGGCTGTGTTTTCAAAGAACATCAGTTTGCACAGACAGCGGAATAAAGGAAAGGATTTCAGCTGTGATTTAAATAGTCATAGCTTAAGCTACAAAGTCTTGCAGGCATGCTTTTATCACAGCTGCAACTGGTGTCCAGTTTCCAGACAAGTGAGATTTTGGAGAGGATTCGCATTTTCATTTCCCCTGGTAGCTGGCTTTGGGATCTCCTCACTTCCAACAGACATGCTAGCGCTAGTATCTAACTCCCCCTAGTCACCAAACATAGCGAGCAGGCTTCCACTTGCTAAACTCTGACCCACGCTGGTAGATCTGGGCATTTGAACATCTCAGACTTGGTAATGTTGCTGTAGATGGACACCGCCTTGGCAGAGGAATCCTCAAGTACACATAGTCCTGCTCGGCAGGAACGTAGCCTCTCCCTGCTCCACTTGGCTCTCCCAAAGCTGGAATAGCGACAGCCTTTTAGGGCAGGCTTGTGCTTGCAGATAATAATGGGGATTTGCTGCGGAGCAAAATTGTATTTCAGAGCGACAGACACAAAACTAGAGGGACTCTCTCGTTTCCCTCACAAATACACTTTGCAATGCCTGTTCCTATTGGTACATTGCCTCAGGAGTGAAATGCAAGTATTACATATTATCATAGAAAACAGAGCATTCCATGTTACTCCTGAATGGGGAACGTTCAATTCCAGAACATCACATAAATAACGTCCACAGCAGTATTCAGCACAGAGTACTGGAAAGACAAAACTGAGAGACAATTTTCCAGCTTCACTTTTTCTGTACAATTATTTGTACCAGGTTGCAATGGGACGCAGGTTACGGCTGCCACTGGGATAAGCACTGTCCAAAGGCAAGGCAAAATGAGTGCTTCTGTCCCGAAGAGCTTACAAAGTACATTTGGTATTTCAAGGAATGCTCAAGAACTGAGGCAGTCATGTAATACTTCTGCAGGAAATTCACATTTGGAAAAAAACGAACGTAAATGTTATTTTCAATGCTGGGTTAAAGCCCGAGCTTCCACACTTGAAAAGCAGCAAGGAAAGCACAATGTCTGCTCAATGAGGCTGCGTAGCCAGGGACTACAGTGCCAACAAATACAGGTAGTGCTAATGCACTAACGCAAGAGTACATTTTCAGACAGTACTGTGCACAATTTATGTTATTAAAGAAGATAAATTATCAGACGTTTGTTACAAAAATAGAAAAAGGGAAAAATCATCCTGCCTAGCTAAGTGTGTTTTCATTGAGGGAAACACTGAGGCATGTAGTTAAGTCTATTAATATTCAGGTCAGTTCTCATGCACCCACCATGATCTCACTGCTTTCTTGACTCAGCAGAAAAAGGAGTTGATGAAAAAAAACATTAAACACATCTCAATTGCTTTTGAAAGCTACTATCAGTTAAACCAATGCAAGTATTTTTAAATTCTCTCTCCTATGTTTCCCCACCAAAGTACTGAAAATGCACATTCCTACTTTTGTAAAGATGGAAAAAAGCTCCAAAACAACCGCACAATTGCTTTGATGTTAAAGAGCTCTAAATTCTTACTTCAGGAGACATACCCAGCATTAAAACAACTGTCAAACATGAGCGCAGGAGCAATTTTAATTCCATCAGCATTAGTGGAGATTTAACTTTTTTTTCAGCTCTTTCCTACAACACAGGCAAACATGATAAAAAAATTGGACCAAACAGCTTGAAAGATCAGAGTGAAAATAATGACATATTTACTCATTCTTTTCCTATATATCAAACATAACTTAAAACACTAGTCACAAAAAAATTTTACTTGATTAGTCCAGATTCCTGCCAGCTCTGAATTTGCATAAAGTATTATGAAACAACGCAAATGCAAAATATACTGAAAGATTTGCTATCTACTGGAATTTCTGGATATACAGTTTAGACTGCTAATTTTACAGGTTTTTTTCCAAAAGTACAGTCTCACAAAACATATAGTATAGAATATTTTCAACCTGAGTTGAACAAATATTTTCAACCTGTGTGAACAAATCTAGGACTCCAAAGAGCTGAGCATGCGATAATGCAACTCACTCAGATGTGTGTCACCATCCGCAACACACAAGCAGAAAAACGACAACTGTCGTATTCTGCTCTGTGACAGGGAAACCTAGTAAGTGATACAAATAACGGACATGGCAGAAGAAATGACTGGAACAAAGTAGAAAGTCTGTGGGTTTTAAGTAATCTCTAATTTTTAATTAAGGAAATATTCTCTGTGGCCCAATATGCAGGGGTTTTTGTTCTAAGTTGTGGTGTCCTCAACCTCTCAACAAGTGGATCCTCATCTTCCAAGCAGCCATCAGGAAACTGCTTGGCTGACCAACGTACCAGGGTGGGAGTGGCACGTACGGAACACATGCTGCACATTTAAAACACCAGCCATCACCGCAGCTTCTGGGGAAGCAGTACTCAGCGCTGCGCACTCCTTCACGCTTCAGTCATGCGCTACAGCAAAAACTTCTGCAAAGCATTCAGATTTCCTTCCCAAGAAGAAGACAGACAGACAGTTGGGGATGTTCAGTCTGGAGAAAAGAAGGCTCCAAGGAGACCTTATTGTGGCCTTCCAGTATCCTCAAGGGCCCTACAAAAAAGCTGGTGAGGGGTTTGTTAGGATGTTGGGTAGTGATAGGACTAGGGGGAATGGATTAAAGCTAGAGATGGATCGGTTCAGATTGGACGTTAGGAAGAAGTTCTTCCCCATGAGGGTGGTGAGACCCTGGCACAGGTTGCCCAGAGAGGGGGTGGAAGCCCCATCCCTGGAGGTTTTTAAGGCCAGGCTGGATGGGGCTCTGAGCAGCCTGATCTAGTGGGGGATGTCCCTGCCCATGGCGGGGGGGTTGGAACTAGATGATCTTTAAGGTCCCTTCCAACCCTGACAATTCTATGATTCTATGAAGCACTGATACCATCAGTGCATTCAGAACCACCTGGTTTTTGTTCCATGTTATTTTTTCTTAAGATAAATTTTTAGGCATGAAGAGTCCAGTGCATGATGTCTCTTGTTGTAAGATGCTAATTATCTACCTAATTCTTTACTTGCACTATAGGAAGAAATGCTTGAAATGTAATGAGCAGGTGCACAGTAAATAAGTAGTAATACCTGCTTTTGTTCTGGGTCTTAAAGTAAGGAAAACATGTGTTTTTAGTTCTGTTATTAAATATAGCACTTGCTTCTGTATCTCTAAGGCTTCCAGTTATAGAATTTAGATCAGACTGGATCCACCATAATTTTAAATATTTCAGGAGGGAAAAGAAATAAAAAAAAAAAAAAGCATTCAACTACATCACCAAAACATGGATATATGCAGGCATCAAAATCTGTAGGTTTTCCTTAAAGCATCACAGAATCTCTGAGAACACATCCTGCACTAATTCAGAATGGAGTATTTTTAAAAAATTATGCATTCTTATTTAACATGCTATTAATATGCTTTATAATACTTAATGCACTATAAATTCTAAGCCAAACTAATCTTATTTCCAGAGCTATATTTCCAGGAAAAGTTAAATATCACCAAGTTAGAAGTGTATTGCGTTCTTTGTGTATATCCCCATTAACTCTGATGAGACAGTATTTTGGAAAAGATTTTATAACAGGAGAGACTGACACAAATAAAACCAGAAACTCAAGAACTTAAACAATATTTTAATATAACAAGCATATCCAACTTTCAAATACAAACTGGAACCAACTAACAAAAAAGAAACTTGAAACAACTCTCTGAATGCCAAAAAGGGCTTATGCAAAACAGTGCACATTTATTCGAGGTATCGTATCCATGAAAACAAAACAAAACAAACCCCACTATCTACATTTAAAAAGAATTTTTACCAAGCAAGGCAAAAGAAATTAGGTGGCACATACTGAGTAAACAGATGTAAACAGTGTAAAAATAGAGAATGTTAATACCAATCAACCTAAACCTTTGGTTATGAAAATTGAAATATGAAAACTGAAATAACCCAATATATTAAAGAAAAATAAACCAGAGACATGCAAGTTATTTGTTACAATACACTCATCCACATGGCTAAGTGAAAGTCACGAGCTAGTGAGATGGATTTAGAAATGCGGTCTTCCTTCTTTCTTTAGTTTCCTTAGATTGATTGTCATTCAGTTTTCCACCGAAGTGGAATGGCTGATGAAAAGCTTTCACCCTTCTTCAACCCACTGGTAACTGAATTATTGAAGATTCCAAGCGGGTGTTGGAAAGGAGGCTTAGGGAATTGTGTTTTTATGACACAGTGTGACACACAACCTCACTCAAATGCTACAAGCAAATGGTGCGTGATCTGTTACTGTTCTGGAAAGTAAAAGCTTGGAGGACAGTCAAGTTGTTCCAGATGGAACTGAAAGTTTTTTCAAGTTTCTCCTCACAAGAGCAGTGACCAACTCCATGGTAAATTGAGTAAGCCACTTAACATTTTATTTGCAACACAGAACATTTCGGCAGCTAAGGTATACTGGAGGGATCTGAACAGTGACCCGCAGTGCACGTGCTCTTCAGCAAAATCAGGTTTTGTTTCAGATATACATCAGGAGCCTAAACAACACACGGCTTTTCAGATTGAAGCAACGGTACCGATGCCGCCTCTTTTACATGCACCTACAGGTCCTTCTTGTCTTCTACTTCATTTAAACTGTCCTGAAAAGAAAAGACAAATTGAAAATAATTTATGAAATTCAGAAACCACCGACTCAAGATGCCACATTTGGCCCCCTTCCAGTCATACCCGATTTGTTCGCTACACACCCTTCAGAGCTGCAGTCCCATCGCCACCACCCCAGGTAACATACACGCTTCTGATCCCAGCACAGCAACAACCGTGCAGCCGCCTTCGGCTCCCCGCTCACGTTATACAGGTCAGCAAACTCAGCAGAAAACGTTTTCTGCTATCAACTGACTTATCCTTCGGAACTGCATCCACTGTGTACTCAGCACCTTCTGTTCTTTCCGTTCAGGAGTAAACACAGAAAACTGTAAGGATGTTTTAGATGTGTTCTAGACCACAAAACTGTTAGAAATGCAGCAGGACTACTACGGCTCACTACACAGGGAAGCACAACAAAGAGACGACATGCGTGGTGGTCTGAATTCGAGCACAGACATCAGTTGAGCAATCTCTGTAAGAATATACGGTGATACTGGGAATCAGTAAGCTTCAGGAAAAAGGAAAAAGACTATAGCCAGCTCAAATTTGCCTTTAAAAAAACCTACTTTATTAACATGGGACCAACAAACAGCTCCTCTTGAAAAGCAGGTCACCATAATTTTAACATGAATCATTCACTTTGTCCCAAGACTATTCCTTGTAAGCAGGGTAACTTTCATTTTTATTGAATTTTGATTGAATTCTGAGAAAGACGTTAGACACAGAACATGCAAACACCCATCAAACAATTCAAAAGAACAGGCAAGGCTCCTGGTTCTACCAGAAATAATTACTGTATCTACCATGGGTATTACAGCCATAGAACAGTTTAAGTTGAGACCTCCAAAGATCATCTAGTTCCAAGCCCCCTGCCATGGGCAGGGACACCTCCCACTAGACCAGGTTGCTCAAAGCTCCGCCCAACCTGGCCTTGAACACTTCCAGTGAGGGGGCACTCCCAGCTTCGCCGAGAAACCTCTTCCAGTGTCTCACCCTTCCCTCTACCCCAAAGAGAATTTCTTCCTAATATCTAATCTAAATGTACTCTATTTCAGTTTGAAATCACTTTCCATTGGCCTATCACTACACTCCCTGATAAAGAATCCCTCCCCTTCTTTCCTGTAGCCCGCGTTAAGTACTGGAAGGCTGCTATGACATTTCCCTTGAGCCTTCTCTTCTCCAGGCTGAACAACTCCAACTCTTTCAGCCTGTCCGTGTAGGAGAGGTGCTCCAACTCCCTGACCATCTTTGTGGCCTTCCTTTAGATTTCCTCCAGCAGGTCTGTATTGGGTTGGCTCAGCCGGATTTTGGTGGCGGCAGGGGGGGAGCTTCAGGGTGGCTTCTGCAAGAAGCTGCTAGAAGCTTCCCAAGTTTGATGGGGCCCGACGCTGCTTCGGATGCGGTCCAGGATGCTGCTGGCTTTCTGGGCTGTGAGCACACATTACAGGCTCATTTTTCAGTTTTCCATCCACCAACACTCTCAAGTCCTTCTCCACAGGGCTGCTCTCAATCCACTTGTCATCCAGCCTGTATTTGTGCCTGGGACTGCACCGACCCAGGTGCAGGACCTTGTAACTGGCCTTGTCAAACTTCATGAGGTTGGCAGAGGCCCACCTCTCCAGCCTGTCCCGGTCTCTCTGGAGGACATCCTTTCCCTCCAGTGTGTTGACCACACCACACAGCTTAGTGTCACTGACAAACTTGCTGAGGGTGCACTTGATCTCACCGTCCATGTTGTGGACAAAGATGTTGAACAGCACCAGTTCCAGTGCCAGCTCCCGAGGAACACCACTTGTCACGGGTATCCACTCGGACACTGAGCCATTGACTGCAATTCCCTGAGTGCAACCATCAAGCCAATTCCTTATCCACAATGTGCATATGCAAACCCAATTAAACTCCTAATTCAGCTTTTGCTTGCTGTGTTTCTATTTTTTTTATCTCGTACTTTAATTTGAACTTGTATGGTAGCCTGTTTCCGGCCTAGTGTTGATTCTGTTGGTTTTTTCTTTTTCCTGTTCTTGTGTATCAACAGCATTGCAACATTTATAATGCAGTATTGCAAAAGCATGTCTAAAGAGCAAACAAAATAAATTTACTTTTATAAATGATGTATATAACACACACACACAACTCGTATCACCTTGTTGTTTCCCAAGTGACCACAAAATCAAATCTAATGATGACCTACTAAAGATTCTGGTAAACTCTCTCACACTCAGCAAGCAGAATTTTGTTGGTACAATTTCCGAACATTGTGCTAATATAGCAATCCATAACCACCTACCTGAAGACGTTCATATTCTTTCACCAGATGATCATACTCTCTTTTAAGGCCTTCAGACTGCTTTTTAACTGCAGTGACCTCATTGTTTGCCTTGTGGAGAGCTGTAAAATAACAGAATTAGTGTTTTAATTACTATTTGTATTCCTGTGGTTCCTCAGAGCCCCAGTTACGTATTAGGGCTCCACTGCACTGGACAATGGAAGACTCTCTCCCTCAACAT